AAGTAAGTAGAGGTCCTAGAAAGGAAGTAGAGGTCCATCAGCTCCAAAAGAAAACGCCGAGCGAACGACCGACAAGGTGACGACGTGCGTGCAGAAAACCAAGCTCACAGCACCGCTGCATTAGACGCTTACTGCAAAACACAGAAGTGGAACAGCTTGTCCATTAAGTAGGTTTCTCTCCAAGCAGGTACGTCAATCCGGCGTCCCGGATTGATTTCACCAGCACACATCCAGTGTCTTCGTTGGTGCAAGACTGGATGGGCTGCTTGCACCCCCTGCTAAAAGCTCAAAACAATCCGAAGGATCCCTATGATTCCAAGGGTTACACACACACACACACTGAGTGACATGCGTGCGGATCTAAATGCCACATGCCACACGCCCACCTCCTAAGGTTAACAGGACAAAAGCGGAGTAAGCAAATCTTCCAAAGCTCCAACGATCACGAAATCGACGACAGGTTGACGGCGATCGTGCAAGTTTGCAAACCTCAAAATCACCTAAACAACTTGTCCAATTAGAGGAAGAAGTGGTTACCGAACATCACACTTGATGAAGCAGGTGCACAGATTGGCGTCCCAATCTGCTTCACGGAGTGTCCACAGCTGTCTTCGTTGGCAGCAGGACTGTGGACTCCCTGCTCCCCCCCGCTAATCCAAAACTTAAACAAAAGCCAATCCGAAAGGATCCCTGTGACTCCAAGAGGTACACACACACACACACACACTTGACAATTTGTAGATTGAGAATGCCTAGTTGTGTCGTTTGCTAAGGTGCTATGTGATCTTCTCAATGCGCTCAACTTTCTAAATCGCCAGGGTTTGGCCCATCGAGTGACTGAGCTGTAAATTAGCTTAGCCTTGATCAGGGTGATGACCCTGCAGATATTGAAAACATTTCAGAGCCCTTGAAACCATTTTTTTTTGAAATATAGAATGAAGATGAATTAGATGTAGCGTTGGTGGAAAGTACAATTCAGCAAGCATAACCAAATACCGGTGTCTGTTTGGAACATTTTGGAACCATGCCTAGAAGTACAAATTGGGGCAGATTGAGTACAGACCCACCTTGTGTGTGATGTTCTGTGACTACTCCATTGCCAGCTTGCACTGCCACATTTGATTGGTCAGACTCTCAAACCATTTTTTTTGCAGATTTTGTTGAATGCAACCGAAGGATGTGAAGACTGAAAATATCCTTTGGGCAGAAGGCCATTGTGTTGTTGTATGATTGCACTTTGTGTGTTGCTCTCTCGGAGGCGCGTATCATTGAAATATCCTTCACAGTTTGTGTGGCTGCTGTCGCCATTCTGCAAATTCCAGGCTGCTACAAGCTTGCAGACTTTGGCACTGCAACAATGCTTGAGGCACAGCCATGGGGGCAGCCACATTTCATCGCATGGTCCCCTGTGCATTTGGGCAAGTAGCAAGTCCTTCGTTGTGTTGCACGATTGCTGACAATTAGCACATGTCACATTGCCCACATTGCTAGTGATTGCTCTCTTATGGATGTGACAAGCTGACCTCTTGCAGAAATGCATTGCGAGGCTGCCATTCCACGCACAAATGAGTGTGGAACACTTTGGCATGACAACCCAGAGTCGAAAGAGGTTGATTGAAGTTGGAAGGAATGACGAGATAGCAAGAATGTGCCGAACCTGGTACACTATTAAAAGTACAGTAGAAAGTGAGGTTTTTGTAGCATTCCATCCTTGAACAGCTGGTGATTATCCACTCACAATCCAGCAATCCTCCATGTCTCTAAAAGATCTTTTGTGCACTAAGTTCAAATATATCACACCAGTACTGCCCTTTCAAAGGTCTCTAGGAAGATGGGGCACTGGGCGGGAGTGTGGCGATGTTTGAGGATCATGGCACCAGAACTGCTTGGCCGAAGACCTCACGGGCTCAACTGTGATGTTTGGTGGGGCACAGAGAAGCGGATGCGTGGATTGCTCATGAGCAATTGCACATTGGCATGTAGTGCTGCACATCACTTTTCAGTTCTGACTTTGTTTTATTCTTTTTTGACTCATAGGGTCCTGTTTTTCTTGAGATCTAGACAATGAGGTCATTGGGAGTCGTTCTTTTTGAGGCTTGGAGGGAGAGACTTCCCCTGACCCTGGTCTGCACATTTGTTTAACGCATCAACCACTCCACAGACGCTGGATCTTCCTCGTTGCAAGTTTGAGTGGAGGTCACCTCCTTTGGGAAGCCTTTCAACTCAAAGGACCTTTGTCTGATTTATCATGCTGTCTCTTCACCTGCGGCAAGCAGCAAGATTGAAGCAGCTGCCAAGACCATCGATTCAACATCATCAGAGAGTATACATTAAACTGGAACATGCTTCAAGTGATGTGAGTTGTAAATTTGCGATTCTTCTTTTGTTTGCAGAAGAACCGCAGACTCTGTTGTCAGAGAGGAGCTTCTTGCCTACCGCAACTCCTCTGAGGTGCAGATGGGAAAAACGTCAGGGTATGATGGTCATGGGAGCCTGCCTTTCAACGGCGGCTATGCCAGCAGATTGGATTGTTGTTATATACTGTAATTGAATCCTGGCATGCTCCAAAAGGTTTCGGGTTGATGTCACGCAAAGAACGGCGCTGAAACAAAGCCACGTGGCTGACAACCAGAGCGGAGCTTTGGGGATGCCTGAGCATCAGGCAGCCTTCCCCAGCAGCTTTTGGCCGTTCCTTTGTGCAGGCGGAAGCTTTTGGCTTTAGGAACAAGCAGGCTACTAGGAGCAAAGGGCATCGCTACTAGGAGCAAGGACGCTACTAAGGGGCTCCTGGCCATACTACTAGGAGCAATGTTCGCTACTAGGAAAACCTTTCCAGACAGGAAGCTGTGACAGGACCAGTCTCCTCACCGGCAAAGACAGGGGGTAAGGCCTGGAGAGATGAAGGAGCAACCTACATCTTTCTCGGTTCTGGTGGGAGAAGCCTCTTTTATGGAGTTTGTTGCATTTTAAAGACAGAAACAAAGAGTTGGCAAGCTTGTTACAGTTCTTCCTCCAAAAGTGGTTTCAAAGAGCGCATCATTGCTAGACGCTGCCACGACTCAAAAGTGGTCCTGAGCTTGCCAGGCCCGAAGCTCAATGTTATCAAGCACAAGTTTACATCTTACCAAACAAAAACAGCACAATCAAGTCAACTAAGTCACATTCCATTTTTTTGGGTAGCCAGGGGTAGGAACAAGATGCAGCCAGCAGGTCCAGAAGCTGGCAGCAAGGGACGCATTAGGGTGAGATTTCTTCAAGGAAGCTTCTCGCAGTCCTAGACTTTGAGGAAAGCTACTAAAAGACCATCGCAAAGAGACCGTGTTGATGCTGCTCAGGACCTCTTCACGAGGAGCTCGTCAGCACCTTGAAGAGAGGAGTGAGTTACAGTAAAAAGCATGACTTATGAGTCATGCTCAACAAGTGTTCCAAATGGTGGGCATGTCTGTTCTCTATCCTTCATGGACTACTTGCCAAGGCCCTCAGCGAACCAAGTGTCGCAGTGTCGTCAGGGATCCCAAGGCTTCGAGAGGATCACTGATCACCTTGTTACAAGTAGTGATGCCCTTTGCTCCTAATAGCAAGAATGCTCCTAGTAGTAAGGCTAGGAGCCCCTAGTAGCGTCTTTGCTCCTAGTAGCGATCATGCATGTTTGCATTGTCAACAGAGCTTTGCTGCAGCACATGGTGCTGGGCCATCTGAGACTTTGCCACCTCTTCTCATCTCCAAAGAGGACCTGTGCCAGAGAGAGCTGAGTCTGACGAGTCCAAGAGTCAAGAAAGAATGATTCCCGCCAGCCTACTGCTTTCTTGAATCTGCTTTTTGCATCCTTGTGCTTAGTCAGGACTGACTTCATTTGTTCAGAATTATTTTATATAAGCCTGAGCTGGGGAAGTCCTGCAGCGCTGCAACCACGATGCTTGTATTCCAGATGTTTTACTGTAATTCTGTTACAATCTTCCAACACCTCACTTTGGAGGCGGAAGTGGAGCCTGACAGTCACGACCTTGTCATGAAACGCCTTTTTTGTTGCTCAGAGCAAAGCTTCAAGCCTAAATGAGGTCCAACGTCGCAATCACCTGGATGTGAGGAGACGGGCTTCCCGGGTGACCAGGATTATTTACCGATTTTTTCCAATTTTTCCTTTTTGAGGGGGGATGCCGTATCGGGTAGCTTGCAAGTAGTAGCTGTAGCTATATAGTAGCTAGTAGCTAGTAGCAAGTAAGCTACGAAGCCACTGAGTACGTAGCTACCAACTACCGGACGCAGGGAAGCTCCCCCTAGCTGCACTGGCCCAAAGTCATTCAGCAGCTTACGCGCCGGCACGCGCCGCGGCCTTGCCACCAGCTGACTGTGCTGGGGTGAGGCGTCCATAGAGCGGGCTCCCATTGGGGTGCGGAGTGCCATGGAGAACAAGGAGTTGATGAGAGAGGATGGTTCGTGGTCGAAAGCTGGCTTTGTTGACTGGGCGACTATGGGTATGCCTGAGACCCTTGGACCAACTATTCGAGGGGCGTTGATGGCCATTGCTGCCACAGGTGAATGCTGTGGGGAAGATGAGGAATGGATCTTGTTTGGAAAGGTCACTGACGGGCTAGATAGGTCTCCTCCCTCAGTCATGGTGCGCCGAACCAACATGATGATGAACTTTGTTGACCCCGTGGATGACCGGTCGACCTTTGAGCTTTCTTGTGAAGTGGAGCACCCCAAAGTTGATCTTGCCGCAGGAGCCAGGGTTGGAGTGCAAGTTGATGCTTTGCTTCTATGGAACCTTCCACTTCATCACCGAGGCATGCCATGGAATGTCACTCATTTGTTTTCCGGTGCGTATGAAGGATGCATTATATCTCCTTCGCGTGGCTTCGTTAGTGTGGTGCTGATTTGCATTGGCTCATCAGGTGGATTCCCATGCTGCCTCCGGGCTTGGGTTCTGCGAATATGTTGCTGGGCTGATCTTTTCAGTTTTTCCCTGGGTATTCCGTAGCGGGCATTCCTGCTCCACTGGGGTGGGTGTGGGAACTCCTGTCACTATCGGTGGTGGCCTTTGGCCTTTTCTGCATAGCATGGGGTAAAACTTCCACTCCTCGTGAAGTCATGGTGTGGCGCCTCGCCTGGTTAATGAGTTGGGAGATGTCCAACATTGAGCTTGTTGTGGCGGGGTTGGCTGCCCGATATTTGTTGTTCTACTGTCATCTGCGATGCCGTACTTCCACAATTTTGTGAAGAAGGGGTTCTCGAATTCAGAATGGTACTCAATATGGTAGATTCACTCTGCGCAATCCGATTGAGTGGTTTGAACCGAACCACTACTCTTGTGCCTGAATGTTCTATTTGTTGTTGACTTCTGGTTTACTGACCATCGACGCGGAAGCTCGTTGGTTGCCGTTGACCTTGTCGTGCCGGCTTGAGAGAAAAAAGGAAGCTCCCCTTGCCTGAAGGCGGAGGTGAGTTTCCTTGAAGAAGCGCTCGCATTTTTCATTTTGATTCCTAGATTTTTCGGGATTGCTGAGATTGTGTTGTTGTTCTATCTCAACACCAAGGAGGGATCAGTTCAGAGCCTCGGCCTCGGCTTTGCAGGATCCATTTCTTCAGCAGCGCCTTGCGTTCCTCCGAAAGCGCCTTCAGTACCGGTGGTGCTACAGCGAGGAATGGAGTGCTGCCAATGCTGATAGTAGTGACGCTTGTGAAGTTTTGGAGAGATCAAAGCCTCCAAGGCGAAGCCTACCTTGTTTGTGCCAGCTTCACATCGAGAACTCAAGAAGTGAAAAAGACGACATGAAGCCGGAGATCGATCCTGTCAGGAGCTCCGAAGCCTGATCTTTGAGGATATGCTGCATCACCTACAAGTTTGAACCAATATGTGCCTGAAATGTAGACATGCAGCTGTTAGACTTCTTCCAGTTGTTTGATTATATAAATGGACTCTTTCGATCTCTACTTACAGTAACTGCGTCTTACGACATGCCAAACTTGAATGCTTCCTCAAAATCTAGGAACCAAATCATTAAGCCTTAGCGTGCGTCCAAGATACTGGTATCTTCTTGTTCATTTAACAGCTTACCTCTTACGACTTCCTTCCTTAGCTACTTGTAAGCTACTAGCTATGGCCGCCTACGGCCTACCCTCTTTGAAGAAAACATATCTTCTATGTTCCATGTTCTACTTTTCTATTGGTCTTGAACATTGCCAGGCGAGAAGAACCTGAGCTGCGTCCAATCGCCTTGGAGCTGTGGCAGATGCTGCAGACCAGCCGCTTTGAGACGTTGGCGCAGCAGGCAGAGGCCATGAAGCAACAAGCTGCGCAGCAAGTTTGTATGCAAGCATTGCAAGTAGAGAGACCTTGCTCTTTTGTGTAAGGAGAGAAGCTACGCACGGAACATACACGTAGCCAACATAAAAAGCCTTGTGCAGGCAGTTGAACCTGCTGCGGAGGGAAACACGAAGGAGGAACTGCTCAGGCTTTACTTTCTGAATCTTTCAAAAAGAATGTCAACCAGAACCGATCACAACAATTCCTTCACTGTATTTTCAAGCCTTGTTGATGTTCAACTTGCATGTTTGGACTTACTTAATAGATTCTGCATAGTGTGCCTGCTTAATCTGCCGGTTTTAACTGGCCGTCAAATCACGATGCAGGTCCGTGTGCCCAACCAACATGCTGCGGGCCATGAATTTGGCACCGACGCAAGGAGGTGCGAACCTTGGTTCCTGAGATTTCCAGAGTCACGAACCAGTCTCCAGTCATTATCACAAATCAGTCGTATGTGAAAGCAAAGCTGACCAGCAAACACTTTTGTTCAGTACTTCTCAACAACCATGGAAGCAATTTTGATGGTCAGTCCAAGGTATGTAGTCACTTTTCAGGGTGTTATAGTACATAATTGTGTGCATAGTCAGAGGGTATAGGGGATGGGGATGACGACACCTTTGAAAGTTCTCCTTCATTAGCATGATGCTCTTGTGTTCCAATATATTGGTTCGATACAGCATGAAAAACCATCTCCTCCTTCGCCTACTATATTTGCAGCTGTTTTCCACCTGCCGCCGATCAATCAGGCTATTTATCCACTGCCTTCTCCTCAGCAGTGTACATGTTGTTAGTGGACGAAGATCAGCCACAAGCTGTCATGCGTAAACATACTGAGTGATACGGATCAGACCAATGTAGTATTCTTCACCATGCACCTTACCAAGGCCTCAACTAGCTGAGGGACGAGCTGTCCAAGCAACTTTTTCAATGACAGCGAAGACTCCAGTCGAAAGCCGTCCAAAGGCTAGGAGCAAGAACGCTACTAGGGGCTCCTGGCCGTACTACTAGGAACAAGGACGCTACTAGGGGCTCCCGGCATCGCTACTAGGAGCAAGAGAACGCTACTAGGAACCAAATCATCAGTGCGACGCTTCTTCAAGGAAGCTCCCCCCGGCCCTCAGGCGGAGGGAGCTTCCTTGAAGAAGCGCGAGCTATCCTGCGTCCAGTTACTAGAAGCGAACTAGTCGCCCTTACTTAAGTAGGAAGGCGGGGCCTAGCGGGCCAAAAAATAAGGCCATCGAGATCAGAGTCGAATTGATCTACTTACATGTGGTATCCATGGCGTCTCTGCTGTCTTCTTGCAAGCCTGTCTGTTTGCGGGCTTTGTTAATGCTTCATTTTGGGCTTCCAAATGGGATGTCCCAGTTGCTTTTGTAGCTTAGACCATTCAAGAACGGATTGAACGAATCTTGCACTCAACAAAAAGATGCTGCTCTTCAAGGAGGCAGTTGTCCGAATTCCTGCGTGATGTGATTGTCTTAGCCGCTGAGAGTCAAGTCACACAAATCAACTCGGAGAAGAGATGCTGGAAGTTCAACAGTTTTGGAATCCAAGAGGCATTGACAGCTGCATTTTTTTAGTACTAGCTTCTTGTTCCTACTAGTAAGGCACTTGTTTCTAGTAGCGTGGCACTTGTTACTAGCGTGGCAGATGTCTCAGGTATCGGCTTTTGTTTTCTTGATTGACAAGTCTGACGTGCCACAAAAACAAGCTTCTATATTCGAACCTGGACCCTTTTGCGGCCATGGCTCATCTCGTGGTTGGGTGCCAAGTCTTTGGGTTCTGATCTTCGGTTTCTCAATGAAGGGACATTTTGTAGGTTCAGGCATTGCTGTACTCTTACATTCTCAACTTTCAATTTGGCCGCGACTTCATGTTGATGGTACTTGGTTTGGGATGGTCAGGCAGCACCCAGACAAACCAGTCTTAAGTTGAGATGCGATTGTGAAGAGAAAGTCTAAGCACCAGATGAGGGCGAGAGGAGCAGTGTAGAGACAGAGAAACATTCATGCATGTTTGCAGATGTTCGCAAATGCGCTGTACAACCAGATGACTTTCCCCTCAAACCTCAGTGCCAGCACGTCACGCCAGGACAAGCAAGTTGCGGGTCGGGTGGTACTTCAACCGGCACCCACTCTTGAGTCAAGGTTGATTCCTCAGTTCGATCCAATGCGGAGCAGAAAAGCAAGAGTTCCCTCACTAGCAATCGTCCAATATTGTTTTTTGCTTGTCAAATGCAAAGACTTCAGATGAAACGCATGGCTCATATTGTAATATATTGTAATGGCTATTGGGCATCCTGATAGGAATTTGTTCCAAAGCGGGATGCCTGTGATGTCACTAGGAGTGACTTGCAGTTTATGCATTCTGACTTGGTATGGCACACTGCTTGCAAAGTGCATCAGAGATGGCACAGCCAGCTGCACTGGTACGAGACTTTAAAGATAGGGCGTCGTGTGCTAGAGTACACGCCGCCATCGAAACGATGTAACCCTGTGAACATTTTTGTGCGATTTGCCTTGACATCCCCAAACTGCTCGTGACTGCTCGTGCTTTGACATGATGCATGTGGGGTTGATTTGGTCAAAGTGAGGCCTCGAGTAAGCTACTCGTTTCACGACTTGGTGACTTGGTTTGATGATGGAGGGCAAACCCTTGATCGGTGCGACGCATCACCAAACAGAATGCAGCTTTCAGAGATTCACAGTGCATCTTTACATGTAAACATAAATGCATCTGCTGCTGTATTGGCAGCAGGCCATCGGCGCGCTTCTTTCCGAGGTGAAGCTTGAGAAATCTGAAAAGGTGGAGCTTGCACGTCAGCAGTCTGATGGTTTGGACGCCCAGTCCCCTCGCTTCAAGTCAAGCGCCCGGCAAGTTGAGGTCTAGGAGCCCCTAGTAGCTTCTTGTTCCTAGTAGTAAGGCCAGGAGCCCCTAGTAGCGCCCTTGCTCCTAGTAGCGATGCCAGGAGCCCCTAGTAGCGTTCAAGATTGTGAATGGTCAGCTTCAGTGGGCTTTAGACGATTTTGACCATGTTCGCATGTAGCACCAAGGAGACAAAAGAAGACACCCTCAGAGGCCGAGCTGGGTTTACTTGCAACACATGCGGACGTTTGGGTCGCAGGTTTTCCAAAGAAGATCGTGAGACCAGAAGTGCAAGTGCACCTTTGTGGAATCATGCCTTGTGCAAAAGTGGCGTGCCGCTTGCGGTAGTTCAGGAGCCGCTCTGGGTCGAGACCAAGCCTTAAAGCGAGTGAGGCTTGGCCAAGAGGCCATGAGGGGTTGGGCATCGGCCAGGACCCACAACAGCAGGATGACAGGATGCCAGTTATCAAGTTGTGACAATTGGGGCTTCTTTTGAGGCTTGCTTTGCAAACTTCCACAGTGCAGTCTCTTTTCTTCAGATTCTGTTTTCAACTGACTCCTTTGTGAGACTACAGCCCTGGGCGGCCATCACCGTCGCTCTCGGGCAGTCGGGCTTCATCAGTGTGGCAACCTGGGGACGTAGAGGACCAAACGATGGCTTGTGTCTTTGAGATTGATAAGGCTAGATCGGTGAAGAAAAAAGAGATGAACACAGGGTCGTGGTGAGATCTTATTATATAGCCCTTCAAATAATTGATTGGAATATACAACTTGATTTTCTTCAACCAATGCTCCCAGCATAGCTGTCAGGCTGTCAGGCATGCGTGTGCTGGTTGCTGTTTGGGTGAGGAAAGCTTTACAGAAGAGTGTTTGCTCCTGAATCGTGCTTCTTTGCAGCACATTGGTTTATTCTAAGAGGTCTCATCGTCGCCCCCACCAATCTGACTGTCCTCGAGACCTGTTCCAACCGATCAGTGTCAACCTTTCTTTTGGCGCCAGAACGCGCAGGTGGGGGGCTGCGGACCGCCATTGGGCCCTGCTATATGAGCCATACATCCAAACCAACCAATACAATGGGGAAACAGTGGGAACCACCTATAAGAACTGGGTCGAACAGCCAACCAACCTGATAGCCCCTCTCCCCTTTGGGTTTGTGGGTGCTACCGAACGCGCTACTGAACGGCGCAAAGTACGCTGGGAGAGAGGCATCACGGCCAACCGTTCGACAATGTTCACAACTCCTACGGCTATCTGAGCCCCACGCAGAGAACATGGGGCTGATGGGGCTCGGCTGAAGAACATAGATTGCCGCTGTTGGCGTTTCTCAACCTGCTAGTGCCCACAGTCTACACAGCCATACATCAAAAAAACGGTTAGTGGTTTGGGGTCTGCAACGGCAGCAGTGGTTGACACAGTGCTACTTTCGGCCACTGCCCAAACGAACCTAATAAAGCAGCCCGAGAGAACGGACAGACTGACGCGTCCGCGTCCGCACGGGCCCGAAGAACAGCAATGCCGCCAGAGGCGGCAAGAGGGTAGTACCTCGACCGTCCACTTTGCGGCCCTTACTTTACATTGCTTCTAAACACTGGCTCGCGAGCCCATGGCGTCCTTTGGCACTTCACTTGGATGGTGACATTCTCTGGGATGATTCACTGGCGGCTAACCCAAACACCTTAATTGTCGTGATCGTTGGGACTGAGAGGTTGATCTGCATCGCTCGAGAGACGGACCACTTTTGTTGCCGGACCTTTTCTGCCAGTACTGGCTGAAGTGTTCCAAATAGTGCGTTTTTAACCGATTTGGCTAGCAGGGCTAGTTTCCTAATTGTCCTCGCGGTCAAAGCATGCCCGCATTTTTGATCAGGCCTTTCACCACTGGTCTTTCCCCGAGTTTCTCGAGGCCCGGCTCAGTCAACGTCCAGTGACACCTAGCAACCAACATGAGTCCCTTGCTCGAGGCCAGAGCTGAAGATCAGAGTCGAGAAAGGGAGGTGGGAAACCAGTTAAAAACAATACTGGAAGACTATGATGACTGACAAGATGACAACGACTTTGCCTTTGATAGTTGACAATCTTCTCCCTACGTCATGTGGAGAACGGTAATGCAACACCGTTCATTCTGGTGGTTGAGGGTTGTGCTTCAGGATGGTTTGGTTTTTGTGTTGAAGTGCCCAATCCAAACCTCCAGCTGAGGTCCAAGAATCTTTCCTGATCTCCTTCGACAAGACGCACTCAACTTTTCACCTGAAGGAATTGGGTTTCATTTCATGTTTTTGTTGATCTCAATCAGCAATGTTTCATGTATTGATGAGTTGCCAGTGACCCACATGTGACAGGCTGGCACGTCGCATTATGCCTTTTGTGTGGACCTTTAGTTGCAAGAAGCGATGTGTTTGACCTGCCAAGTTCTTGTAAGATGGATTGAGATTTTCAACTGCCCGCCAATCATCACTAAAGTTGTACATTTTCAAAGCAAATACAACACGTGCACAACTGTCAATACATGCTGTTCATATTCTATCCGAGGACCAATACGGTGCTTTGGAACATTTGCACTATGGTGGGAAGCTAGTTTCATCGACTTGTCAGGAAGCAAGTGTGGCAAGATGGTCAAAGGGTACTTCAGATATCAAGATATTGGGGCGCATGCGCAAGGAGTTCAAAGATTTTGCAGGTAAGTTTCGATTTCTGACATGCTGGATTTTTACAATTTGGCATGCAGGTAGCCCCTTTTAGATTCTAGCAGTGCAAAAGCACCATTGAGACAGATTTCGTACGTGTGGTTAGAGTCCATTCAGTAGATGTCCTTTTCGTTTGACGAATGCTGAATCAGCTGAATCATGTGTAGCAGACTTGGTACTAAGCCCAGGCAACTGGGTCGGCATGCATGCCTTTTCCTGAGAGTGCATTTGGCACTGGTTGTTTTAGGAATTGTCGGCAAAAGTCTCTAAGCAGATGAAAGCTAATCGGTCAATCTGCGCATAAATGACATAGCTAGTAGTGGGAAACTCAAGACAGCAGCAAAATCAGAAGTGCTGAAAGATGCAGAGAGCTCTCCTCAGGCAAAAATGCTTTTCAAACGTCCCAGGGTGGGTGAAATTCCATTGGAGTGCTAGTCTACACTCTGTCATACTACAGCTTGCTGTTTGTTTTACAGCTGAGGACTTCACCTTTCTATCGGAGACTGATCCGGCCTTGACATTCGAGCCTGCACCAGTGGTATCTCCCAGATTTTGAGTGATCTCCTTGACTCGCTCAGAGGGCGGGGGGTGTTAGCCACCAAAAAATATTACGAACTCCTTAGCGCTGTTACTACGCGAGCAATTTGAAGAGATTGTGTCGTGATTTTGGAGAGCTGTACTACGTTTTTCAGTCACACACATAATACATGTTACATATTATATATGTATAGAGTTGTTTTGTGTCCTCAAAACCGCACCTGCAGCTGATCACAATGACCAGAAGGCCTGATGCCCCATGTTGCCTTGTTGCCTCGCGTATCACTTGTCAGCAGAGCAGAAGCCAATTGGAATCGGCCAACCAACTTTGATAAAAAACCTTACCAATGCTCCTGAAACCATTGCTGTGTGCTAGGCTCTTGAAGAAATGTGCAACTGCAACTGCAACATCTTGCCTCAGAAGTCACAAACACAAGCCGTGGAGCCGCAACCACTTTGAGCCATGCACCGTCAGTGTGCTGCTGTTCCAACGTCTCTGAAGAATGCATTCGAGAACGGTGCCTTTTCAAGCATTCTAAACAGTTTGTGCAAGACTTTTGGCAAGACCAATTTGAGAACATAGATGGAGAGAAACCGGACAAGGAACTCAAAGAGTTGAAGTCTGTACCTGCAGGTTCTTTTGTGGAGCTTTTGGAGGATGTACGAGATACAGCTCAATCCTTAGTCCAACTCCTCTTCTCCGACCAACAAGCAGGAAGCTTCAGCGTCGAAGTAGTGCTGGCCCGATATGAGGTAAGACGAGTGGGAGGGCGGTTGTTCTTCCCTGAGAAAGGGGAAGACAACGAGGCAACTCTTTCTGTACCACACGCTCAGGGGTGTTCACATCTTGTGAGTGTTGCTCACTTGGCCAGGCAGTTGCTAGAGATCAGGCGAGGGCGAGTGTAACGAGGTATGACACAATTCACATCACCCGCAGCGGTGGTCAAGCTCTTTTGCCAGGAGGAAAATGGCCCGGAAGGAACAACTTCTAGTTCCAGTAGCAACTTGGTCATGCTAACGGCTGTCTCGTGAGTGTGGTCTCGAGCATGGTGCCTTTTGATCGAGCTCACGGCACACCCAGAGTGTGAATGTTTCGGGAATTTGCTGCTTTTCAGACAGATGTGGCTATTGATGGTACCCTTCAGAGAGCAAGTCATTCTAGGTGATTTGCACAAGAATGACAAGGCTCATCTTCAACACCCCAACCCGTGTGCAATGTGCTTCTACAAATACAAGTATAGCGTGTCCAGCCCATACAAACCCGAGACTCTTGACGAAGCACCTGGGGGTCCCCTCTGTCTGAAGCAGCAAGGTCAAGCTCCTGTACGACCTGCAGGTGGCTTGGGGTTGGAGGCGCTGAGTTGCAAGTTTGAGCTGCACTCTTTGCTTGGCTCCGTTCGGAACGGTCACATATTCACCTTGTTACATAATATATAGCGCTTGTTCGCTGGTTTTGAGATGCTTTGAGCAATTGTTTCAGTTTGCAATGGCTTCTGGTCCTGGTTTTGCTTGGGGTTAGTGGTCAGCCCAATACGTTGAGAAGGACAGCAAGTCTACTTGATTCCTGGCGTGACATTTCCGGCAACATGGAATGGCTCAGATATGGAGATTCTTAGGCCAAAGATTGAATCTGATGATGCAGTCTGTTGACACAATAGATTCAATAGATAAGGTAGATGATGTAGAATATTGATTGCATCCTCAAAAAGTAAGGTGCTCCGAAAGTGGGATTGAGTGTGGTATCGTGAGACCACGTTTGCCTTCTAAGTTGCCTAAGTGACTGGTCTTGGGCTTGAGACTTGTACGATGTTTCTCTCAATAATTCTTGATCGAATTCCTGTTAGAGTTCTGTCAGTCGAGTTGTGATTGCTGCGATGTTGGCAACACTTACGCTGGAACACTAGCGACCACCTGGTGAACTGGCTTTGGCAGCAAGTTTGTTAAGACAAATGATTCACGGTCCATTGATTTTGCACCAAATCCTTTGCACAGTCTTCATCTTCTTCATAATCAGTGAACGTGTCAAGGTCGGCGTGGTTATGGCGGGAAAAGAAACAAACATCAGAATCCCTTCGTGTGCTAATGCACATCATCTAGTTCTTGATTGAGTTTGTTTTGGGCATTGTGCCCACATTGTGCAGGCTCGTGCTCCAACTTGGGCCAAGAAGAAAGCTGAACCAATGCTGGGCACCCAGCGTGGTGCCAACTGCTGCGCTCTGCGACGAGTGGCAAGAATAGACCAGCCAAGCAAACAAGTGCTATTGTTTTGTCCTGGTCAGAGAGCTTCAGCTTCGATTCGTGTGGTCTAGAATGTATGCACACAGTTCAAATCATGGTCCGCTACTCAACAATGGTTCATATTCGGGCTTTGTGGAATCTGAGGACCAAGTATATGTTCCTGGACGAAGGAAGTGAAAAAGGACATGTGGTGCTGTACGGGCTTCGCAATCAGACCTCTTTTCTCACGCTACATCATGGGGGCCACAATAGCATTTTTTGCTTTGTAGCTTGATGGACAATGGAATGTAGACTGTAGACGTAGATCCTAAATGTAGCTCTCAGTCGGGAAATGGACACCATTTCAGTCCAATGAGTGGAAGAGAGGTGTGTGGAACACGTGCATTTCGATGCTGACAGGAGTTGTGAAGGTCTATGCCCCTTGGAGGGCAGGAAGTTAGGAGTTTTGCTTGTCTCAAAACATTTCCGACGTTGCTGCAAAGTCTTGAATGACAATGCAACATATTGACTCAATATTGACCGTACTTGATGTCACGGTCCATGTTCTGTGATTGGAAAGTGCCCAACAGTAACAACGGTGTGACGTTTTAGTCTAGAAGTTCCTTCTCCTTCTGTGCTGAAACGAACAGGGCGAGCCCCACTTTCAAGGTGAAAGCTGAAGAGCTTGAGCTGGCATCCTTCAGTGATGTTTATGCCACCTTTGAGGTTGGATAGAATGAATTGAAAGCATCACTGGCAGCTGGCACACCACAAGCAATCATGTACAAGTAGACAGGAAAACATCAAGCAACAAATTGTAAGCAATAAGATATAAACAACAACTGAAGCGCATATATTGTGTGTGCGTGGCTGATGCACTTGAAAACTACACAAACAAAAAGACTGGTGCTGCGCCGCTGCTCGAATTCGTGAGGAGCAGAGTTTTTCGTTGCTGGTGCTTTCAGATGGCCGCGTCTGGCGGCTTCAAGGGCGGCTCTTTGGGCCTGTTCGAGCCAAGGACGCATCTCACAGTTGGAGAGTCAAAGGGAATTTCCCGTATGTAGTTTGAGTGACTAGTTTCAGACTCGTTCCTTCACATGATTGGACAAAATCCCCATGAAGTTGGGGAGGGGTTTGGCTGAACAGGGCAAATTCCATCCCTCAATCCACATTGGACAGAAGACGAAGGCAGGTGTGCAAAGGCCGCACAATGACATCAATGAAGGAGTGCAGCACTTCTTTGTCTCCATCTGGACACAAGGCCAAGAGTGCATTGTGTATTGAGTCTGGAGCAATGTGGATGGTGGTAGACAGACAGCCAATTTTTCGATCATGTCAAGACTGAACATAGATGAACGTCAAAATGCTTTGGTTGGAATAGACTTGAACAACATTTTCCAAGCTTTCTGCTGCAGCGAATGGGAGGTGGTCGTCACGCTGCAAAAGTCGGATACGAAACTGAAGTGGCATCGACTCATCGAGAGTACTGGCACTCAGCAAAGCAACCAAGCAACCGAAAGCAACGCAACATGGACCTGAGACGGATATGGCTGTATAGCTCGTAGGTCAGATGTGAGGACAGGGGTAGCTAAGATTATATAGCTAAGGTAGCTAGCAGCGAGCTTTGTCTTGAGATTACTTTCAACACTGAGGCACAACACAACAGGACATGACGAATGATTTCATTTGAGAGAGCTGTGATTTGGCAGTTTTTCTGCTTGACGCTGAAATGCTGAATTTGCCGGAGTGAAGGTAAAGCTGTGGTCTTCGAAAGATACAATCAAGGCATTCCATGAAGAATGTTTATTCTACAGTCCTGATGGACATCATTCTTGAGTCTTCACCCTTCACTTGCCTGCAACAGCTCACGCTGGCCAACCTTTGGCCAAATCTCCATGTATCACGAATGTGTCTAGTCTAGTTGCAGTGAAGATCACTAAATGGAGAAAAGTTGCGAGCCGTGGGATTATGCACCTTCTGTCGAATGTCCTCATGACACCTGGGCAATGGGTCAACAGAACCGACCCCTGTTTTGTTCAGAATGTTAATGGTACTTCCAGCAAGCACATCAAGGTAGTTTGGCATCAAGGTAGTTTTTGAGTGCTGCCATTTTCACCAGGCTTCCCTGTTCCGTTGGCCAACCCATTGTGCTATAGGTGTTCTATGTTTTGCACTTGAAACTAAACAGCCATTTTGGATCACTGGCCATTCGATCTCGGGATTCTTTTTTGGGTCCAAAGAGGTTTCGATCCACAGCGATATCCAGGCTGGTACACAGTACTCCATGGGAGAGCTGCTCCGCATGGTTGAGGATGAGGACAGGAAGAACAACGTGAAAATCTGAACACTTCTGATGTACACGAGGTAGGGAAGAAATGGAAGAAAGGTCTAATATAGTTTACCCTTGGGTTGGAGGCCATCGCTAGTAGCTTGGAGGCCATCGCTACTAGGTACTTCTCAATTGAACACCTTTGTAAACTAGAACATGTCGTCCATCTGAGCTAACACAGGCCTGGTCCAACAGTAGGTTTCTGAAGGATGGGCAAGGTGAGTGCAGTTGGAGGAAGGAGGGTGGAAAAGTGGGAAGCCCTGAAGCAGTCTGGATTTCTCGCTTCAATTTGCAGGATGACATCGATCCTCAGCAGCTGTGGAGTCTGGCCACAAATATGCACTTTGCCGGCAAAAACCAGATTGAACGACCCCTTGCCTTGTTTTGCTACGTAGATCTAGTGGATTTGGGAAAGACAATGGCGTAGCATGTCAAAGCCTTGAAGCAATATGGAGACAATGGCGTAGCACCATGTCAAAGCCTTGAAGCAATATGGATCTGTTCTAATCCATGCAGGATGTCATCCATCACCAGCCTGATGCGGTTGATTCCTTTCCCCATGGCCTACTAGCATGTGAAACAGGAAGAGTGAACGTGGCGGAGATTGGCACATGGCAAGGGCTCGGGAGCCTGCAAGTCAACAAGGAAGTTAGACAAACAAGTGAAACAAGTGTAAGAGGTCCTGCAAGTTGTTTGATTATGAAGACTAGAGATTCTCCTGTCTGACAATCGCTTCCAGCACTGTCGTTGTTGAGGTGGAAAATCTTACCTGGCGCTTGCGCAACATGTGGAGCAAGAATGGCCAGGAGAGTTCTTCAATCGCAAGTACTTAGCATGCAATCGAACTGTTTCACTCAGTCATTCCACATCAGACGACATTGTGCTAGTGTTTCAGGATTCACAGGATATATATAATATATAGATATATACTTGTGAACGAAGAGTCTCTTGATGTCAGTTGCTTGACCGTCGGTCGATCGTCATTTGAGCGTTTGTGAACCGCAGCCTTTTGGGTGAGGACCCACCCGAGGGGCGCATGTGCGCCGGAAAAGGGCGCGAGTGCCTGTGTGTTCTGCTGCCACTGTGTGTAAAACACAGTGGTAGCGGAGCACTGGCATGAGTGGATCCGTGGACGCTTCAGGCACAGAGGAATCTGTGTCACCGCTATGGCGGGACAAGGACCCTCCACCGTCGTTCGACGGTGACACCGAGAAGTTCAAGGGCTACCTGAGAGAGCTTAAAGTGTGGAGGCACGAGACCGATGTCCCGGCCAAGAAGCATGCTGTGAAGATGCTCCGTGCCTTGACAGGCCCGGCAAAGGCTGTGTGCAATGAGTTGGAAGTGGAGACGCTTCTTACAGAGGCAGGAGCCGAAGCCATTGTCACCAAGCTCAAAGACTACTATCAACCCCATCTGGAAACAGCGATGCCAAGAGCGTTCGAGCGTGCTGTTTACGGTGAGGCTCGTAGGAACAAAGAGAGCATTGGTGAGTTCATTGTTCGCCAAGACGCCCTGTTCCGTGAGTTGCGGGAAGAAGGATGACACCGTCCGTGGGTACATCATGTTTCGTCAGTCGAACCTGTCCCAAACACAAGAAGATCAGGTCACCACGTGGACTCAGGGCAAGTTTGATCGGGCATCCGTGATGGCTGCACTTCGCAAGTTGGAGAAGGTCCAACGAGAGCGCGGAGGAGGCAAGCACTATTTGACTGCCGATGACGAGGCCTTCGAGGAGTACGAATCCGAAGGTGAGGGTGATTACATCTACTTGGGAGAAGAAGACCTAGAGCAGGTGTTTGAGGAGGAGGAGCGGACTGAAGCTCTAGCGACCTATCAACAGGTCCGGCAGGCCATTCGTGAACAGCGGAATGGACGTGGCTACTTCCAGCCGAAGGGCGTTGGCAAGCAAGTCACTGGCAAGGCAAGCAAGGGCTCCAAGTCATGTCGCCGATTCGTTTTGGTGGCAAAGGCACCAAGGTTCACATCGACGTGCTCAAGCTTCGCGCGAAGTGCGCAAGATGCGGCCAAATCGGCCATTGGGCTCGTGAGTGTGTCAACAAGCCAGACGCCAAAGGGAAAAGCCGAGCTTCTGCAGATAGCACCAGTCCCAAGTCAGGGTTCTTCGAGACCGGGATCGTCGATGGTGAGTCCTCCACCTTTCAGGTCACCCTGGGCCAATGCTTAGCCAAGACAAGGGCTGGAAGACCAAGATCGCCGACTCCCTTTACTGGCATCACCACTAGTGGGTCTATGGGCATCATCGATACCGCAGCGCAAGGTGGGCTGATTGGTCTTCCAGCACTTCGTCGGTTGGAGGAGTCTTTGAAGGGGCATGGATTGAAGATTGTTTGGACGGGGAAGAAAGCCCAAGCCAAGGGCATCGGAGGGGACGCTCGTGTCTGCGGTGTGGTCGAGATCCCAGTCGGCATCGGTCGTGTGAACGGTGTGATCGAGGTCACAGTGGTCGAAGAAGAAGTTCCTTTCCTGCTCTCCATCCAGTTCCTCAAGCAGGTAGGGGCCATAGTTGACTTGCAAGAGAGTGCATTGATCCTCACCAAGTTTGACAAGAGTTGTCCTTTGCACCATATGCCCTCCGGTCATGTTGCAGTACATGTTTTGGCATTTCATGAAGCTGGGCGGCAACTCCCTGACATGGCTCTTGAACGAAGCCGCAAGGAAGATGCATTTCGTTTCTTTTCAGCCGTCTCCGCTCAGAACCATTCGTTCATGTGGAGGAAGTGCAACTCCGCAGGAGCCGGGCGCGATGGATCTCATCTCTCGTCTTCGCCAGCTCGAGAAGACTTCAGGCGAGGAATGGGAGAAGGTGTCCACGCAGGAACATCGTCGGTCGGAAAGAGCCATCCGCAATTGGCGAGTTCTCATGGAGCACGTGTCCGACCTGATGGAGCTCTGTGTGCTTGGTGTTCCACCATGCTCATCGTTTACCCGGCCAGCATCGGGATCCGAGCCTTTCTCATGTCTGGACGGAGCAAGCCCCATGCAGATCACCAAGGCCTCCATCTATGCCGAACTCATCCAACTTGGGGAGTTCCTGGGCCAAACAAGGTGCAAGACAGCGCCGGACATCCATATGAAGGCGTGCGCTCATCCACTGGCAGCTTTGGCAGGTGCTGGCAACCAAGCTCAGCGAGAAGTGTGGTGTCAGAAGTGTCATGCCCGATGGGGAGTAGACCCCAGGGTCATGGAGGACATTGCCAACAAGAAAGCGGTCATCCATGTGAATGGCAAGACGTTCAACCTCTCAGGCAAGTCCGGTTTGAGCCGGTACGACACTCCACCGCGGACACCAGTGAGGACTCCGTCAGCAAAGAAGGCCAGCAGGGGACCGATCACCCCGAGCTCTCCCTTGACGCCGCCGTGGAATGCCGAACAGCTCAGCGCCCCGAAGACTCAGGGGATGAACTGCCATTCTCGAGTACCAGCAGTCCAGCTGATCGTGAAGAAAGACGGCCCGACCCAAGGACGACTGTTCTGGAAGTGCGCCAGGAGGATTTGCAACTTCTTCGAATGGGATCCTCAAGAGATTCAAGAGATTCAGCGAAAGCTGTTGCAGGAGCAAGAGGATGCCGAAGTGAAGCGCTGGGAGGCACAGGAGGAGGCCGAGCGTCAGCACATGATCCAGAAGACGATGGAGGTTGCAGAAACTCGACGCCAGGAGATCCTGGAGGCCACGCAAGCTCAGCACCAATGGGAGGTGGAGTCTCTCAAGAACCAGCTTCTGTGGATGTCAGCAGTGGCGGGCGAAGCTCGGATGGAGGAGGTGTTCAAGAATCCGGTGCTCCAGCAAGAGATGATGAACAAGGCCATGGCAATGAAGGAGGAGCTGCGAAACCAGGAGGTGCAAGCACAGTCCACGATGGATCAAAGCCAGGGATACCACAGTGGGCAGTAGAACTCAAGTCCGTGATGACGGACGAGGAGATGGAAGAGGCACTCGATGAAGACGCCCCTCGGGTGGTCAAGTTGGACGATGGAGCTCGCTGGGAACTTTGGAGCAAGAAGCAAATCGAGGAGAGCTTCCATGCGCACTATGAGCGGCGGGTCGCCGACGGATTTTGGGTGCCAGAGAACAACGGCACGTGGAGGTTTCACTACGGCATTTTGCCTGAATTCATCGAAGGGAAAGTGGCAGTGGGTTTGTTCGGGAACACGTACTTCCAAGATCAAGACTATGAGCCCGAAGAGGAGAAGCAATTGTCCCGTTCATCCCGCAAGGCATTGTCCTCACGCATGAAGAAGCTAGTGGTCGCTGAGGTGTTCTCGCCCCCACGGGTGAGTGAGTACGCTGAGAAGCATGGACATCTTGCAGGAGGAGCCTTCGATCTGGTGACTTGATCTGTCTCGCAAGGACGACAGACGCTGCTGGAGGGCACTGCGGCAGGCCGACCCTGACATCGTGGTGGTCTGTCCACCATGTGGACCTTTTTCCATTCTGCAGAGTCTCAACCAACGACATCAAGGGGAGAAGGCCATTCTGAGGTTGAATAAAGGGAAGGAGCACTTGCAGTTCGCGATGGAAGTGTTTCGATGGCAAACCTTGAGGAAGAGATTGGCGATCTTTGAGCACCCAGCCACCTCCAAGGCATGGCAAGAGGAGTGCGTTCAAGAGATGATGAACCTCCCAGGGGTCCAGAGAGTCCGCGCAGATCAATGCCAATATGGGCTGGCCAATGGGGAGCACACCGCAATCGCTTTGAGCCGCAGATGTCATGGAGAACACAAACACTTGCCCTTGATTGGAGGTATTGCTCGGCTGGCTCAGAAGTATCCCAACGGCCTATGTGCGGCGATGATGGACGGAGGAAAGAAAGACCTTCTTCAGCAGAAGATCTATGCGTGGGCCACCGGGCAGGAGGAGGAAAGCCAGAAGGCTGAAGAAGACATTGAGGAGTTGCTGAGAAGACATGAAGAGCAAGAGGAGAACAGAGACGCCAAAGAAGCTCAACGGGGTTTGATAGCAAGAGGACGATTGGCGCCTGATGAGCCCCAAAACAGACAAGAGGAGGAGGAGCCCGATCACGTGAGGGATCACCTCACGGCGGAGGACAAGAGAATCATCCACAAGCTGCATGTGAATCTCGGCCATCCCAACAACTATGAACTTAGCAAAGCACTTCGACTGGCCAGGGCTCGCAATGCTGTGTGGAGATATGTGAAGAATGGGTTCCAGTGCGATGTCTGTGAAAGGAAGAGGAAGCCGAAAAGTGCTCGACCAGCAGTTCTCCCGAAGACCTTTGAGCCATGCCGCACCGTTGGGTTAGACGTGGTGTTCTTTCCAGGCTTGGATGTGCGACAAGTGAGGCCAGTACTCAACATGGTAGACTGGGCCACCGGGTATCAGAGGCTCGAACCGCTGGAAAGCACCCAATCCAACCATGTCTGGGAGAAGTTCTACGGCACGTGGGTGAGAACGTTCAGTGTGCCTGAGGTGATAGTCACTGATCAAGGAAGAGAGTTCGGCAAGGAGCTGGCAGAGAAGATCGCGCAGGCAGGAGCTTTGCACCGAGTGATTGGAGCCAGGGCACCATGGCAACAAGGACGCACAGAGCGTCACGGAGGAGTGGCGAAGGAGGTCTTTGTGAAGCTTCGCGAAAGCATGCTGCCCACCAATGACAGTGAATGGCGCCTATGTGTTCACGCATTGGAGGCTGCAAAGAACCGACTGTACAACCGTTCAGGTTTCAGTCCCGCTCAACGCCAGTTTGGCTACAACATGCGATTGCCAGGCTCGCTTGGATCTGATGACATTTACTCTCCAGAACTGCTGACCCATTCCTCCACGGAT